CTCAGGCACTTGCTGCAGGTCGATAACTGTCCACCCTGTTAACCTGGTCAGATAATACTGCTACATTTTAACTTAAAATTGCAGATTGGATTAAATATTAATCTGTAACCCTGCAAGGAGTGCAGTACCCCTTTGGCTGGTGATGCAGGGCAGTGACGCATTAGCATTTCTGAACCCCACAATTTGCAAATCCCTAAAATGCTTCCAGGGGAGGTCTGGGTTCGTTTAGAACGGCTCTTGAATGGAGACGGGCTCATTTGCCACTACCGAGACTTCAGGTTTAAAACCACAAGCTGGGTTTTGCAACTGCAAGTCATGTTTCAAGTGCTCCATGGGTGATAAAATATCCGAATTGTGACAAGTTGAGTTACTTTATCTTCTGCTGGGGGCACGTTTACTGTGTTGCCCTTTTTGGTACACCCATTAGTGATGACTGTGGTCCTGCTCATGTTTCTGTCACTGCCTCATGTGGCCTTTGAACTAATCTTTCACTTTCCATCTGGATTTTCCTTCTATAAACCAGGGATGATGGCATTTCTTTAGCTGGAATGCACTTCACGTTCAAGCGAAGGGGGAGGTGCTGGCGCTGGAGAACACCTGGCAGCCCTGAAATGAGTGATGGACCCCAGGAACCGAGGAATATGATGAGGCTTTTTAAAAGACAATCTACCCAGGACTGTAGAAGCTTGTATCCCACTTCACACCATTTAAACACTTTAACCTTCCTCTGACAAATGCCTGGCCTGCACCTCCAAACAAAAAACCCCAAACCTCTCCAGACCCAGTAAGAGCTCTGTTACAAGGCACGAGTTCGCCATAGGCAGCTCTACCTGGGAAGACAAAGCTTGTGTGTGGATTAATGACTTAAAGGCAGTTGCTGGTTTCAGGGTCAACAGCATTTTGGCTGTGCAAGGTGTGGAGGGGTTTGGGCGGCAGGGTTTGGTCCAGAGCTCGCTCGAGGCTGCGCCAAACTGTCATGGCTGTCAGCACGTGTTAATTAGCTGAAGAGAAAGGTCTGAGGCAGCTCATGCTGCTTCAAAGGACTGTTGAGGGTAACTTTTAAAACACAGCTCGCAAGAAAAATAAATGGAGAGGGGCTTAGTTTTTTGCCTGTGGCTGCCTGTAAGCTGCAGGGCAGAGAAAGTGCTGCTGAGGCCACCCATGCTGGAGGGCTGCTGGCTCCTCCCTGGCTGATCTGCCCTCCACGCGGGTCCTGCCACTCCCGCTGCTCCCTCTGACTTCCCAGGACAGGACTCTCCTGTTTGCTTGAGGAGACCTGCGTGGGGATCGGGAGGAAAAGCTTACTTGCGTAGAGAGGGAATGATGTTTTCAAGGTTGCAGCCTGAAAAACCCAACCTAGAGACCTGACCTGCTTATTTTGGCTTTTGTTTGGTGTGTAGCAACATGGGAAGCTTTGCCTGCCTGTGATTTCATGTGTTGCTAATGACGTGTTTGGCAATGCAGCTGCTGGGAAGGCAGCGATCATGTGAGGATGCATCCCAGGCTCGGGCAGGGTGATGTGGGCAGCAGAGGTGACTGTTCCCCTGCTGGGGATGACAAAGTGACTTTGCTACTCAGGCACAGGCTTGGATGTGCAGAGTAAACACCGTGCAGGTTGTCCACACCGTGCAGGGCTGCTCACGGGTACCACCAGGGAGCAGATTGGTTTCATAGAGAGAAAAGGGAGGAGGAGAAGCTGAAATCTTTCTGCAGAAAGAGAGGAGCGAAAAATATTTATCTTCCAATATGTCACGTTTGTGCGTAATTAAGCACCAACTAAAACCTGAGATCGAAGCTTCAAGGATCAGAGGCTGGGCAGATGGGATGAGACTGGCAGGGAAGGAGAATTTAAAAAGCATGGCAAATCCTGCTTTAAAATGTACTGCAAATGGGTTTGCCAGTGGTGCTGCAGAAGGAGGAGCCCAGGGTCGTGAGGAAGAGCAAACCCTGAAGCCTCAGAAAAGGGTAAAATGTCTGAGAGCAGAGTTTCTGCCAGGCTGGCTCCTGGAGAGATGAAATGTTGTGTCCTGATGCTCATCAGGTAAAGCAGCTCCCGGCTGGAGTTGCCACGTGTGCTGGAGAAAGGGGGCAGAGCATTTGCCTCTCTGTGAGGTTATTTCATTGTAATCACCTTGAAAAATATCCTAGAATCCAAGAAACGGGCAACCTGGTTTGAGACTAAGGCCTTTTTCTCTAAAGCAGAAATTAAATTCTTCTCTCCTACCCGATGCCCAGAAGGGGCATCGATCCCTGAGTGCTGCCCACCCATGCCTGATGACGCATCTGCCCGCGACAGGGACTTTGCTGCAGCATTGGAGAGCACACCCCGACGGGCTCGTGCTGGTGAATGGCACGAGGCTTCTCCGGACTGCCAGATGATGCTTTAGGGGATGGATTTATCCACCTGATAAATGTAGTCCTCAGTACCACCGTGCAAGATTTTGAAGGCTCACTCTCCTTCTTGCCGTGGAGAGTTACAGTAGGATACATCCAGAAATGGTGATTATCACAGTGTGAATTTTACCCCCACCTGCCCATTGCTGGCTCAAAGGGTGGATGCAGGGAAGGAGACCTTGGTTTCTGCTCTCCAGTCCTCTGTGTCCAAGAGTGGCTGATTTGTAAGGGCTCAGCTCTCAAATAATTATACAGAGCCCAAGAAATTACTTTCTTTCCCAACTACACATCCATGGGTGGTTCAGTCCCAGGGCACCATGTATAAGGGCTTTTCTTTCTGTGCTTCTCTTTCTGTAATTTCTCCTGTGACTTGTGACATGACCCTGCCCTCACTGGTGAGGTTTTAATTTTTTTTTTTTTTCTCCGGAGAGATCATTGACTCCTAGATAAAGATTAATTTTCATTTTAATTTTTAACTTAAATCTCTCAGGTCAACATATTTTTGCAGGCCATCTAGGGTGCTGTTATCTTTGCCCAGCTTTGCCTCTTTCACAGGTCGCTTCGCCCAGCAGATAATGAGTAATCCTCCCTTGCACTGGGCAGGCTGAGCTGGGCTGGTTGCTTCCCTGCTCCCTTCTCATTAGGAACCATGAAGATATCTTTAGGGTCAGAGTGACACCTCTCTGTCTCTTGCTTTTGGTAATTCTTAGGGTGTGAGAAGATGCCATTCCTACATCATGTCCTTCTTGCCACCGTTCTGTGTGGAGCCCAAAAGACCTCCCAGAAATGGTTTTGGCGGGAGGGTAGGAGCTGAGTCAGCCCCAGGGGAGCGGGGCTCTGGGCACAACGGCTGCATTCACAGCCCAGCCCTGACAAATGCTCTGGGGCCATCCTGGGGCACAGCCCTGTGCTCCTCAAAGCCACAGACAAGTCATTGTCCAGGCAAGGACACAAGCGCACATACCCAGACTCCCAGTCTCCTGCTCTTACCGCAGATGCTGTTGTTTGTAGCACAAGTGGGTTTGGGATGGATGAACAGTTCCCAGCCAGTGCATGGTTTGAGAGAGGACTGGGTATGAGCTGAGATCATGTCCTCCCCAGTCTGTCTGTGGTCTGCCCGAGATGATGGGAGAGTCCAGGTCTGAATGGGTGTTGTGTCCTGTGGAAGTGTGAACCTTGCTGCACCTTGGAACCATCCCAAAGCAACCTCAAGGCTGATGCCATCTCATAGCTTGGTGCGGTGAAGTACATAATCCTTGTGATCTAGAAGGGCTAAAAAAAAAACCAACCCCAAAATTATGTCACATGCTCTTTTCTTACCTATGGGGTCATTGCACCGTTTGTGAGATCAAAATGATTCTACAAGTGTTGTGTGTTTCCACTAATATCTTTGACAGATCTTTCTCTGCCAGAAACCAGTCAGAACAGCAGATCTTTTAGAAAGCCTTTCCCATTCATATTGATTCGATAATCCAGCTCTCCAAGACATGATTTTTAAATCCCTTTTGTTGTGTATAGTGTGGAGGTGGTACCAGGTGACACTGGTTGGGGAGCGGGGGGAAATGCCCCTCACGAAAGACCCACTCATGAAGGACGGGGCCATGACACTGCATTACAACTTTGGAGTTTGCAGCAGTGAATTAGTTTTTCACTGGCCTCTGATGGAAAAAAAAATAAAGAGGAGGGTCAGCAGCTCTGCATTTTATTGAGCTTTCTATAAGGGAGCCTGCAGCAAGGAAGAGTAAGAGCTGTGAAAGTGCCTTGTTAGGTGTTTCAACACTGGGCTGGTGAATCGTTCAAGCCAGGCTATAGGGCTGCTCTGCCATAAGGAGAAGTAGTTTCCTGCTTGCAGACCCCAGAGGTCTTTAGGACAGCTCAGATTCAGAGTGCCAATAAATAGGAAGAGCACAGAGATAAGCAACCGAGCTCTGAATCTACAGAGGCAGCAAATGGGTCCCGATTTTCTTTTTCAGGTGAAGATCGCCCAGTTTTATTTCCTTTCACTGGGAGAAAATGCTTCACTCTGAGGACCCAAGAGGGTGGAAAAGGGGGAAAGATGCTGTCTACCAGCTGTCCACCCAGCTTCACGCGTGGCCTGGAGCAGGACCTGCTTCTCCTTCATGGTCTGTGGGATGGGCAGTGCTTGCCTACCCGGAAGGAGTATTTTGGGATGAGCATTTGTAAGGTGAAGAGCTAGAAGGTAGAAGGTAAAGAGCTGTCTGTGTTCAGAGAAGAGGTTACATGGAGAGGTTGGAAGGGAGGGATGAAGAAGAAATCTTAAGAAAAATTTCATTATCAATGTCTAATAATAAAGCAGATACGGGACTCCCAGGTGCTGGGAAATTACCGCAGGCAGAAGAATCTGGGCAAGGCTTGGGAAATGAAGCAAACCCACCCCATTGCACTCAGCGGAGAGCCTGCAAGCCTGCACCTCCAGGTGCTTGGACTTGCCTTTTGCAGACGAAAATTCCAATTTTTGTGGAGAGCTGGGGGTGGAGGAGACAATTGTACAAAGTACAGCACTCTGAGTAAATACAATGTGATGATGAGAGCCTGCTAATAAAGGCGTCGCAGTGACTTTCCAGAAAGGCAAGCTCCACCAAACCATGGCTGCCTTCACACCTCTCTTCATCTGTGCGGTGTGTGCATTGCTTTTATCAGCTGCATTCTATGTTTTAAAAGTTTTTAAGCAATCAGCTTTAAATTTGCCTCCTGGTCCATTTCATCTTCCGATGGTTGGCAACCTGCATCTGCTGGACATCAGAAGGCAAGACAAGTCACTAATGAAGGTGAGAACAAACATCCTTTGTTTCTCGAGTGTTGAATGTCTTCAAAATTTTCTTCTGGTGAGAGTTTTGCGATGATTTTCAGTGCCAAATGCACTTTTTTTTTTTTTTTAAAGTGATGTTTTAAAGATTTCAGAATGACCAAGGAAATTGTTAAATCCCAACTCTGCAGAGGGTGATACTAAGCATGAGCAGTGCTTACGTGAGAACTACTCGCACATTGAAAACTATCAGTATCTGCATCAGATCGGACCAGTGGACTTAAATTTTGGCATATTCCTTGTGTTGTGAAATACTTTAAAATATTTGAGTGTTCGTGTAGCCAAACTGAAAGATGGATAATTAAGTGTCGTTGCCAGAATAGCTCGTATTTCCTATTTGTGTTGCCAGTTTTTCATGAGAGTGGGAATTCCTATATGGAACAAACTCACAATAGCTTTATGTAGTTTCTAATCCATTGCTCTCAGTCAAGTCTTAATTCCTTGTACAGCCTGGCAGGACCATGTTTGTGAAGCTGATAGAGAGCTGCTGCTATCACATATCTCAGATCTCATTAGAAAATCCTGCTGTGCATTGGCTTGAAAATTATGGTGCAGCAGAAACAAGAAGCAGAGTGTGGTATTGTGGTAATTTTGTAAAGCAAGTCGCAAGAGCGATGGTTTCTTATGCCTTCATATGTCCATCCGTGGTGAATTGTATTATCTTCCTCTTTGCATGAATTACAACAAAGCTTTTATTTAGCTTTTTGTAATAAATAAGGACACCTCTGCTCTTCCATCATCTTGTGGTGGGCAGTAGCGTTACAGCCTGCCCGGTCAGCAGTTGCTCAGTAGCTGCCTGGCAGATCTCAGTGACGCTTTTACGCTGCCGTTGGTATCCAAAGTGACTTGTTACCTTCTGCCTCTTTAACCCACTGGTCCAACCTGAGTCCAACAGGCTCAGCAAAACAGTGGTTTTGTGGAAGCTGTTGGGTTAAACAGACCAGTGTTTATTTGCTTTGATTCTTCTTTCATTTAAGTGTCTCAGAGCTTTATCTCTGGCATCCTTCCATCCCTTCTGGCCACAGAAGGGGGAGGGCAGGCAACTCTTCAGCCACCCCAGCATGATGTACCACTCCCACTGATGACTTCCATGCTCTGATTTTTCTCTCTTTCTAGATTTCAGAGAAATATGGCCCCGTGTTCACTGTTCATTTGGGTTTTCAAAAGGTGGTGGTGCTCACTGGCTACGAGGCAGTAAATGATGCCCTTCTGAACAGGGCAGACGTGTTTATGGACAGACCAGCTATACCCATATTCTATGAGATTCAACACGGAAACGGTACTGGCAGATTGAAAAGATAAGGACGTGCTTACTTTGCTGTTTCTCAAATGCATGAAGAATCTTGATCTGCATCCTTATCGTTGAGGGCCGCATTTTGTGGGACTTGGGGGCAGTTGTTCGTTTTCTTAAGAAAAATACTTCTGGAGATCTTTCTTATTTGCCTTACCAGTTTTTTGCTTTTAGTGGCACATGAGTCACATTTCAAGGTTGGGTTTTTTTCAGTGCAGAGGGAAGGAAATAATTTTTCACAACGTGAGGGCTGGGATACTTATGCAATCTCTTTTCTGAGTTACTGGGAGTTCAGACAAAGCGTGGATCACACATGACTCATGATAAAGACTGCAAGAACTGGCAAGAGTGCAATAGCACAGGCTGTTTGTACCTCCAACGATTACTTCTGTAAACAGATTTTTGGCATGTTTCTGAATTGCATGCTAAAAAGCAATACATTGCCTAAAACTAGACGTTGAAAAACAATGAAGGGAACAATCTAGGCCTGAAAGAAAAAGAGCTGGTGACCTAATATGTATATAATGCATACAGCATGTGTTTTGGTTTTGGTTTTGGTTTGGGTTTTTTTTCATTTTGTTTTTAAGACTGAGGCCCAGTGTGAGGAGGGGTACGCTGCGCTACTTTCCCAACTGCCATATGAAAATGTAGAGTATGTTCAGCCCTGGAAGCTCTCCTGGGAAGGGAGAGCTGATGAATTGTACTGAGACACCTCTGTGCACTCTTGGCCGAGCACGTTTTTTGGCTGATGGGTTAACCAGCTGGGGGAGATTTCCCAGCTGTGAGCAAAGGTGCCTCCCTGCCACCCCTCCTTGTCACCCCACACACTCTGAAACACAAGTTGTTCTGTGGAATTGTTTGTCCCATTCATGACAGAGACAGAGCGGTGTCATCTGCTCCTAGCCTTGCTCTCTGAAACATCTGGGTCATTTTTCTAAGGAAGAACAAGTCAGCCTGAGACAAATACCACGCGTAGAGCTTTTTACTCTATACGGCTGCAAAGAGGGAAAGCTATAAACAAGCTAAACTCAGAATTTTGGTGTGCACAGCACCCAACTGTTTAAAATATTGCCTCTTGCCCTCCTGAACCTACCTGGGGTGTTGCTTTCCCAAGCCAGACCCCTCCAGAGCCCCTCAGTCCTCTCCTAAACAGGCTCCACCTGGTTGCAAGGTACCTGTGCTCCTCAGCTTTGCTTTTGGTGTTTCTGAGAAAATCCCAAACTGCCTCAGCAAACAGGGCATGCAATCTCTCCGTAGGTGTGTTCTTTTCTTCTCAAGAGGTCTGGAAGACGACGCGGCGGTTCACTGTAGCCACCATGCGGGATCTCGGCATGGGGAAGCGTCTTGGAGAAGAAATGATGCTTGAGGAGCTTCACTTTCTCGTTGAGTTGATTAAATCTTTCAAAGGTGAGTTGGAGATGATGTCAAATGTTTCATGCTACTTTACAAAGCCACCGTGATGACCTTCAGGTTGCTCCAGAAATCACCAATGCAGTTATGATTTTCTGATTTCTAGGTGGACCTTTCCGGTTACGATTTTTGAATACAGCCCCTACCAACATCACCTTTGCTATTCTCTTTGGGAAAAGGTTTGATTATGATGACCCAACATTTGTCACTCTGTTAAGACTCATAGATGAAGTTATGCACCTTCTTGGCTCTCCATTCTTGCACGTAAGTTACCCTCTGTGCCAAGGTGCTCCAGTTTCTCATAGGAGTTGGTAGGTCAAGCCAGCTTACTATTACTGGATGGTTCTGAAGAATCTTTAGGGTACTGAAACATAAGAATCATAGAATGGTTTGGATTGGAAGGGACCTTTAAAGATGATCTAGTCCAACCCTCCTACCATGGGCAAGGACAAGATTCTTTATTTTGAGTTTTTCTTCCTTTGTGAAATCCTCTTGCGATGAATGTGCAACATCCCTGGGCTGAGATGCTGATGTGACCTTGCCAGCAGAAGGGATGTACTTGATTCTTCTAAAGCCAGAAGGTGGAATAGCTGAGGCTTCCAGCATGGGGTGGGCAGCGTCCAGGAGTATCAGTGGAAATCCACAGGAACACTATGGACTCTTCCCTTGATGTTATTTTCAGTCCCATTATTTTGGGAGCTTTACAGTTTATGGCGAATTGTCTCCCATGAGGAAACAGACCCTAAGGCAGGACTGAGATCTGGACAACCTTCTGTCTTTGGGGCTTCAAGGTAACTGAAGGAAAATGTTCCTGGAACGTGTCTCAAAACCATTTGTAGTACTTTTGACAGAGAGTTTGGAAGGATTCTGCTTATTTGGTTTTTTTGACCTTTTTTGCCAGTATTTATCCGGATGTCCCATAATAAAACACAGGATGCCACATCTCCTACTCCCTCGTATTTTTGGTCCAAAGAAGGCTCAGGGGAAGAGTCAGGATGGAACGAAGCTGCCTCTTGGAGGGCATGGCCAGACTTTGCTTCTTTAAAAACACAGTGGTGATAAAACTATTGAAATAAGGACTTTTTTTGTGTATGTGCAAAAACACCCCAACCCAGGCTCATGATAGTTATTTTCTGCTGGATGCTGTGTGAACATCCCCCAAGTAACCCAAAGTCTTAGGAAGAATTGCATGTGTATTTGGGGGTTACTAAGTTTTGGTCTCTTACTACAGTTTAAGAAACTAGTGAAGTTACAGAGTAGTAGTACAAAGTAGAAAGCTGCAGACATTATATAGAGACCTCTCATACCTCCTATTGTGGCATTAAATCAATACCTGCTCAACCGAGCTGCGTAAAAATATTCCCACTAAGAGGCACTCATCTGAGCCAAGAGCTCCCATTAAACTTAATCCTCTGTCACAAAGCACAGAGTATTAATTACTTAAGATAATATTGAAACAGTCATCTAAAAAGCTGTTAAAAAAAAAAGACGCAGATGAATTTATAACCTGAATGAGGCCTATTTACAATGGTTACAATTTGCAATAGTACAACACCTCGTTTCTTTTAATCTCTGTGGCAGGTTTAGTTTTTGCAGAAAACAGCAAAAATTATAACCAGCTGGCTAGGGCAGGAGATTTGTGAATCTTATTCTGCAGCCAGTTTGTTTATAACATCGAGAAATGGTGTAAATAACCCCCCTGCACATAAAATGCCTCTCTTTATTGTGCTGTGAAATTTAATGATGCTGAGAACGGAGTGTAATTGATTTATAATTCATGTGAAAGTTAAAAATTATGATCTAACAACTTTAAAACGTAAGTATTTTGGCTTGATAAATGTGGAGTTTTCTTTGCGTAATGTGTAATGCTTTATCTTTTTGCTTTATTACCTCTTTAAAAACGTAATTTCATTGTTTCATGAGTTTACTATCACTTTCCTTTAATTGTATTTTTTTTAATTCGTGTTTATAGGCTTTGTCTAGACAAGTCTGATAGGCTCCATTCATTTCTGTAGAGAATTTGTAATGCAAGGAAACATTCTTATACATTAACATTTTTAGCTACCAAAAAAGAGAGACTCCAATCACATGCCATTTAGTTCCTCACATAAATGATTTCTCCATTATGATACTTGTGTTTTACAAGGTAACGGGTGAATTATTTTTCTTCTGTGTTTTTTTCTCCTTTTTTTTCTTTTCAGTTATTTAATTTCTACCCATTCCTTGGATTTCTCCTCAAACCTCACAAGCTGATACTGAAAAAAGTGGACGAGGTGTGTGTGATCCTGAAGAAGAGGATCGAGGAAAGCAAGGAAAACGTTAGGGAAAAGAGCCTGATGAGCTACATTGATGCATTGGTATTAAAACAAGAGGTATTTTAACAATATGATGATTCCTAGTGTGGTATCTTCTAGAGAGATACTCTGTGTTGCTTGTGCAGTGAACAAGCTCTGCTGTGGTCTGTATGAAAATATTTAGATTTTGGGTAAGCATCCTCTTATTTTAAAATTAAGTACTGCATACTGAAGGAAAGGCTAGACCATACCACATGAATGCCTAAAACTTGCCCTCAGGTGTCCCCTTCTTGCTGGAGGGAGAGGTAATGTCATTTTTCCAACGCGCTTCATGCAGATACGTCCCTCCAGATGGGAAGAGGCAACAGATTCCCAGTTGCAGAGATGCAGAAATTCCTGCAGAGTTCGTGCAACCTCTACACCAGCCTCCACACAGCGGATTTAACCAGCGGGAATGGGTAGAAGGGGAGTACAGCAAGGAAGGATTAGTCTGTGTTTGCCCTTTTTCTCTGAGTATTTGCATCCATGTACTTGAGGCGAGTGGTGAAGCAGGGACAGCAGAGTTGGTGTGCCAGTGGTGTCCTGGGCTTTCCCGTGACTTGGAAAGGTGCTGCTCTGCACCACTCGCAATTTTCCAGCCTCTCAAGATCCACAGGGGAAGGGGATGGAGGTCCTAAGCTAATCAGAGAACTACTGCTCAGAGCAGCCAAATGCCTTGTGATGTTGGAGAATCAATGAATATGTTGAATAAGTCCATTTGGGAGGGCAGGGGGGGCGCAGAGTCTCATGTTTGAAAATGCTTCTGCTGAAAACTGAAGCATTTCTGTAACAGTATGTCAGCGTAGCACATTTCAGCGCTCATAATTCACAGGTATTGCCCTGTAATGTTTCTGAATGCTAACGTAACCTGTCCTAGTTCTCTCTGCTCACTGCTAACAGCAGTGGGTTTTTTCCTTTTTGTTTCCCTAAAGGAGCAAAACCAAAGCAATACGCTTTTTCATGATGCAAATGTATTGGCCTGTGCGCTTGACTTGCTCATGGCTGGCACTGAGACAACATCCACGACATTGCAGTGGGCCATCCTGCTGATGACAAAATACCCTGAGATTCAAAGTAAGACACCGTTATGGTTTTGCTTTTCTTATGCAGAGCACTGAAATACTCTGCAGAGTCCTCCTAAGTGATGCTCACCTGCTTCATAGCTCCTTATCCATCCAAAATGTGAGCGGCTGGAACCTGTCCACCTCTGTCCAAGCCTTGCAACGCTGCCATTCAGGACTAAAGGATCTGAGGGGTTGTTCTCTCGCTGGTTCCAGCAGCTGGGCAACCTCCTGCCCTGGGAGTCGGCATGAATTGCGATTTGGAGGTGTTTTACCATTGGGGGAAGCTCACACGTGTCTTTCCTTTGCTCTGCAGAAAAGGTGCACACAGAGATTGAGCGAGTTCTTGGCCCTGACTGCTTGCCTACCTTTGAGGACCGGAAAAACATGCCATTTACCAACGCAGTAATCCACGAGGTGCAGAGATTCGTCACCCTCCTGCCACATGTTCCACGGTGCACCTCAGTTGACACCCACTTTAAAGGCTACTTCATCCCCAAGGTACTGACTGCTCTCTGGATGAAGGGTGGGGGTGCAGCAGTGACCCACAGGGCAAAATGTCACAAGGAGGTTGGGAGCTTGAAGCACAGGGCTTTCGGTGGGGAAGAGCCAGGTCTCCATTGCCATTCATTCCTTGTAGAGTACTTCTGCTGCTGGAGTAGCACAGCATTGTCTCGTTGCCTACTCGAGGCAAGGAGAGAGCAGCTGGGCAGGAAGGAAGCCTGGCCCACATCTGTCTTCTCCTTCATAACTCAGGAGTAGTCAACAACCATTCTTGTTTAGTCACAAATTAGTCAATAATTCCCATGAACTTGGGTATCTACACTAACTAAATGTCGTTGGATCACGTGCAAGACCAGAAATTAGTTCTTCAGAGACAGAAGTTTCTTTGCAGACACAGCAGACTCAATGAGCTTAAAGATCTCTTCCAACCTAAACAGTTCTGTGATTCTGGGGGGCTGAATGGGCAAAGCCAGAACTTTGCTAGATCCACACATACTAAACCAGAGCGTGGTTGTGCTTCAGGGAACAACAGTGATTCCTCTGCTCACCTCCGTGCTGCTGGATAAAACACAGTGGGAGACACCAGATGAGTTCAACCCCAACCACTTCCTTGATGCAGATGGGAACTTTGTAAAGAAGAAAGCGTTCCTGCCTTTCTCCACAGGTAATGAAAGTGTTTGATCCTGCTCGGGGCACCGAGTTCCCAGTGCCCCTCAGAAGGTGTTAGCCAAGTGGCAGGACCGGAGCCTCTGCTGGGCACAGCACAGACGTCAGTGGTGGCGATGGTTTAGAAAAACCCTCCCTGAGTTATGATGACTTGCAAACAGCCCCTCAGCCCACACTGGGAGGCAACACCAGACCCTGGTGTTTATAGACACCACTGGGACCCACAGAAGACTCAGTGCCTTCAAGCAAGAGTTCAACTTTCCCCCTGTCTTGGGAAGGCTGGTTTCTAGGGTGTCCCGGATCAATTCCTTGCAGGCTCAGAGTGAAGTGGCCCTGTTCAAATGCTCATAGGAGCCCAGCAGTGATGGCTGCTGAGTATCACGCCACGCTCTTTTGCATTTCTGAGGCTTATACTGTCCCTCACACAATTGCTACCAAGGAGCAGGGAAGAGGTGTTGGGCTGAGCCACCACTTACCCAATCACTCCACCAACAGCCATGTTTTTGGCATTGCAGGGCGGAGAAACTGCATTGGAGAAAGTCTTGCCACGGTGGAGCTTTTCATCTTCTTCACAGGCTTGATGCAGAAATTTACTTTTAAGCCTCCATCTGGGGTCAAAGAAGCTGAGCTGAACACGACTGCAGAGGCTGGATTCACCATGAGACCTCACCCACAGTGTACCTGTGCTGTGCTGCGCCACTGAGCCCAAGGCTCTGAACTGAGAAAAATCCACGTAATTGTGCTGTGCAGAGCCTAGCAGATGCACAAAGGAGAAACCAGATCCCCGTGCAGTACATACAATCTGTGCTTTCTTACTCAAAACCTTGCAAGTTCTGGCTATATGCTTAAAATACCTATTGAACAAATACTTTGCTCAGAAGCAGGGGAGGGCTGGTGGATAAGGTTACCTGGAAAATTCCAGCCAGATACACGCCTAGAAATGACAGGACAGCCACTAATTTACACATCAAATACTAAATGTGAGAAAGTAATTCTAGTTCTGGGCTTCTGGGAGAGGATGCTTCCCAAGAGTGGATCATTTCTTCACTGGGAAAGCATTATTAGATACAAATACCGGTCGTTGTCTAATCACTGCTTTTTTTCCATTCCTAGTGCACAGAAGATAAATTATTCCCTGATACCTGCTCTTTTATGTTTGATGGATGTGCTTCCAACGCTTTCCAGACTCCTGATTTTGAATCCCAGATACCAAAACTTGGACTTTTTAGGTTCCCTTTGCTCTGAGGACTTTAGCATGATTCCTCAGGAGTCTTTGGCCCTTTCTGAGTACAGGCTCTGATGTGGCATTTGACGGCTCTCCCCAGACGGGTGAAGATCCCTCCCCCACCCTGCGACATTTTTGCAAAGGTAGCTCAGATACACAAGCACAACCTTTTTCAGAGCACCAGGTGTGAAGAAGCAAGCGTGCAAGCATTGCAAAGATACCTCCGAAATGCTCTTGCCTTAAGCAGCACGGAAGCTGGGCAGATCCAGCCTAAGTGACAGAAAACCTGTCCATCTCTCCTTTCCTTACTTCTCCCAGATTTCTGTGAGATGTGTCAGGACCTTATCTTTTCCCAACATTCCTATCTTTTCTTCTTCTTCTCTGAGATGACTGGAGATGGAGCCTCAATACATGCCCACATCAGTGAAGGCAACAGGACTTTTACAGCAGCTGGCTTCTTCCTTGGTCTCGAATGCTGAGTGAACGAGCTGGTAGGACTGCAGTGGGAGGTGGGCTGGGCTTTTGTCCCACCAAGTGTTTGAGCCCCTGGGAGGGATCCTTGGCTGCTGTAGGATGGGGAGAAAACTCCTCCTATTCCCTGCACGCTCCCTGATTCTTGCAGGTAAATGGTAAATAAATGTCTGTGCTCCCAGCGTTGCTCGCAGGCGAAAGTTGGAGTGGGGGTGCCTAAAGCCTCAAGATTTAGCTCTGCCCTCCTTATACAGCCCAAATTTGTGGGTGGTCGGTCGCTGTACCCCAGGAAGGACTGCAGAGCTGGCTGCCTGTGACTCAGAGGGATCGTGGTGCCATCTCGTGGTAAAAAGGAAGAAGAAATGACATTCTGCACAACGCTTAGGGCTCTGGCCAGGGCGTAGGGGGGCCGCAGGTAGGAGGTGGCCCTCGTTTTGCAAATCTCTACAGCTGCTGCAGTCCTTGCACCTGATTGTCGCCCCTCTGAGAGCAGGAGCCCCTGGTCCCAGCATCAAGGAGCTCTAGGGGTGGCAGGCTGGGGTCTGGGGCATGTGGCCTGAGCCACAGACACAGAGCGAGGTGGATTTCTGTGAATATTCCTTTAAAAATCAAGCCACCTGTCCAGCCCCAAAGTGTTTGCCTACAATTCAGGTCGTGTGTTGCAAGGCACAAACGTGTTTTGCAGTTAGAGCGAAGACCCTCAGGGCCACTGGGGAATGTGGAAATGGTATTTCCAGGCCTCAGAGCCAATGTTTTCTGCTAGATAAATACATTGCTGAGTCATAATCAATGTTCTGCCATCGTCTGAGTGGACAAATAAATGGGAGGCAAGCACTTTCTTCTGCAGAGATATATCCAGCTGTCTAGTTCAGTGTGCTGGGGAGTGAGGGTAGAGTTAGACTAGATATAAGGAAGAATATTTTTTTACAGGGAGGGTGATGAGACACTGGAACAGGTTGCCCAATGAGGTGGTAGAAGCCCCATCCCTGGAAACATTCATTCATCCTCTGCAAGGAAGAACTGAAGACATGGAAGTGAAAAACCAAGGCTATCCCCAGGGTGAACTAGTAGTCCATAACTGAGCACCAAGGGAAAGCTTTTTGCCCTGGAGAATCCACTCTGCAGATACAGAGGCTCTCCTGTTGAGCTGGTTCTTACTAGGATGAGAGTACGCAGAACCTCTCACCTGTGAGATACAAGTAAAATGACAATTTTCATTGTCGCTCTGGGTTCAGGATCAACCTTTCATGGCATTTGCATTACTGTGTAATGCAAAGTTGGGTGGCAGCATATGACATATAATGAAGACATTGGATTAAAACTTTATTGGGTTCCCAAGAAGGGGAGAAACAAACAATATGATAAAGTACACAATAAGAAAATGCATATGGAGAAGTGGCAATGCACAGGAAGATAAATGGATGAAGAATTGCCTGAGCTATACATCATCTGAAATAAGATTGTGGAATATGATGGCAGATAAGAGTGCTGTAGGCAAGGACAACAGCCAGGCAAAGCTACAGGGGAAAGAGCACTGTGAAATCAGACACCATTTGCAGGGAGATTGCCTGGCTGGTTCCAATGGCCAGAGCACCCTAAATACTAGACTGACTGTGTTTGCTCCCGTTTGACAAGGTCAGGAGAGACAGAGATCCATAAAACCAGAAATGGGTCCATATCATTAGCCTTCGATGATCGGTTGGTAGTACAAATCTCACATGGCTTTATGATTTAGAGTGCAAAATGTAAATTTTCTTTCATTCAGACTGTGAAGCAGCGTTGATCTTGGTGGTGGCAGGACTTGCTTATCTAAACAGGTTTGCAGGCTCTGGGGCATCTCTCAGGACACTGTTCCAAGGCACAAATAACTTTGTTGTCAAATCACGTGAATCCATCTGGTTTTTCACTCTCAGGGTTTGACTTGGCTGTCTAGCCTGGCAGGATTTTGCTAGAAGCTGGAGATAATTATGGAGCTTAGAAAAGTTTAGGAGGTACCTACAGATGGTTCAGGTGTGTGACACTATTTTTCGGGTTTTAGCAAATGACTGTGTGCCTTTTCTCAGGATTTTGGTCAGATTTCTGTGATGTTATGAACCTCGCTGCTTTGCCCTGGGAACCCAGGCATGATACCTACTACTCATGGGCTACAACCCCTCCACCAGACCACCTCCTTGGTCCCCCATTGGCTCCATGCACAGTCTGTCTTGAGAAGAAACGTGTGTTTGTTAAGCACCATTGTGGTTTGTAACTGATCGTATGCATCCCTCACCTCGTGGGAGCAAAGAGAGGGTCAGCAGCCTACGGGGAAGATATAGTGGTGGAGAGCAGTGCAGTGGGAGTGGATGGAGGTAGTGGGAAGGGGATGTGAAAGAGGGTGATATGGCAGAATAGGGGGTGGCGAGTCCTAGCATAGCTAAGTTGGGCCTGAGCAGCTTCCCCACTTTCCTGGGATTGCTTTTCAGCGTTGTTATTCACGCAGGACAGCGCAGGTTGCCTGAGGCTGAGGCCTTAACGTGAAAGTCGTTTGGGGGACGGTAAGGTCCAAGTCAGATTCTGAAACTCCTGGCTGGGGTTGAAAAGTAAACGTCTGCAGCAGCCCTACAAAGAAGACAAACAGCTCCATCTTGGCGAGGCTTTCTCCAATGCAGTTCCTTCGCCCTGCAGATGAAAGCAATGGTTTTACTCGATGGAAAGATCAAACTAGAATATTTGCCATGGATACATGAGCATCTGAGATGTAATGGAAGCAGGAGTGAAACCTCAAAATGTGAAAAGTGTCCTGTCACATTCATGAAGACTGTGTTACTGTATATTGCAGTAAAATGGTCCTGGCATGGCCTCAGCTCTGTGCAGCTCAGCCCTTTAGTTACCTGTGGAGAAGGGCAGGAAAGCCTCTCTCTTTACAAAATTCCCTTCGGCATCAAGGAAGTGGTTGGGATTGAACTGATGTGGTGTCTCCCATTGTGTCTTATCCAGCAGCACAGAGGTGAGTGACGGGATTACAATTATACCCTGCAAGAAAAGTACATGAGGGCATAAAAGAGAGCAAACGTGCTCTGTTTTGGTTCATTTTGTGACACAGACTTCAGTGTCCCAGGAAATTTGCTTCACCTGGGGTAGCTGGAGACCCTGAAGGTTTTATCCCATCAGCCAGGAGAGGGAGAAGTCAGTGAGATTTTCCCAGCAGTGCCCAGTGTTGAAGCCAAACCCCACGAGGTGCTGCAAAAACCTCAAGCAAAGGGTCAGATCCTGTAAATTCCCTGGCAGATGCTTCACTGTGCAGATGGCAGTTACCTACCTTGGGAAGGAAGTAGCCCCTGAAGTGGGTATCAACAGCAGTGCAGCGGGGAACGTGGGGCAGGAGGGTGATAAACCTCTGCACTTCATGTAGCACTGCGTTTGTATAGGGCATGTTTTTCCGATCCTCGTACGTGGCCCAGCTTCCAGCTTTGACAGTTCTCCCGATCTCCTCCTGCACCTTTTCTAGAAGGAACAAACAAAGGGGATGTGCCCCTGCAAGGAAACCAGTGCCCTCTCGGGTTCGGTTTTGGGAAAACCATGTTTTTCTAGGGTCTGGAGGGAGAACATTCTTAAAACAAAAGCATGGGTTTCCCTGCTCTATTCCTAGCTCAGGCATGTGGATGGGTTTTTTCCCTAGCATCATACTTTGATCTCCAGTCATGCTCTCTCTTAGCAAGGCAAAGGGACTATTTTGTTGTGACTTTGATCAGCATCTAATTACGTCAGAGTTCACAGCAATAAGAAGGTGGGATTCAGCTCCAATGGTAGAAGAACTTCTGTGGATCTGAGGCCAGACCTCTCTCCTCCCCATACCAGCCATGCCACAGGTGGAGCGTAGGTAAGAGGAGCTCACTTTGAATCTCTGGGTATTTCATCATCAGCAGGATGGCCCACTGGAGCGTTGTGGCTATGGTCTCTGTTCCCGCCATGACCAGGTCAAGTATGGATGCTATTAAGTTGTCGTCGTGGAAGAGGCTGTCTTTCTT